TAGAGTTATGGCTCAAATATCATTGACACAGAAGTCCAGCAAGATGGTAAGACTGGGTCCTGACTTCCCTGGGCTGCTATAAAAGGTACTGAGATTAGTCTTGACACTCAGATGGATGAGGTAGAGCAAGGTGAGGATGGCTGGGGTCAGAGAGGAAAATTCCAAGAAAGGGAATCAGAAATGAGGAAGAGATTTCAGGAAATGAGGCAAAGAACTCTCAGAAAGGTAGGAGGGAAGTTTGGAAAGAAAAGGAAGGATAGGAGGTAGAGATGTGAGTCACAAAGGCCCACACCCAGAATTACAGAATGATACAGTTCATCATGATCATTGGATAATTGTCTTAGGGTTACATTCTTAGAATGAGCATGGTCATCCCTTCAGCCCCCCAGAACCAGGACCACCCAATCACTTCTTTTCAGTCTAGAGGATTTGAAAATTATATTGGACTAAAGTTTCCTAGAATGTTAGGATCAAGGCTGATTAGCATCAGAGTCAGATAAAGCAGTCTTCACCACCAAAAGCTCCACAGAGGTTGGCCATTCCACACCAAGGGAGGTGGGAGTGGGGACCAGATCATGCACTCACCCCTGAGGGGCCAAGATAAGGCTTTTATGAGATGGAGGGAGAAAGAAGTAGAGATAAAACTCATTGAGCTCATACCCACCCCAAAGCACAGCACCTCCTATAATATATCAAGGAGGCATCTCTCAACTCTGTTTCCTGGTTGAGTAAACAGGGAAGTCTATGCTAGGAGAAGTCATACAGTGTCACTCAAGGGTTGTGTAGGCTAATGAATATTGGATTCCAGTTCTTGAGAAGAGAGGTGAGATTCAAGGACTGGTTGATGCAGGAAAGGGATGACCTAGGATGAGTGACTGGTCCAGATACTTATGGCCCTCTGTGCTGACTGCTGGCCCAGCTGTGCCTCCCTGTCTCAAACTACCAACATCAGAAAATGCAAACTGTTTGCAACATGAGAAGACCTAGAGGATATTATATTGAATTAAATAAATCATATGAGGAAAGATAAACCCACAATGATTTTATTCTTAGATGGCACATAAAAAATAAACAAATTAACAAACAAAATAGACTATAAAACCAAATTGGTGGTTACCAAAAAGAAAGAGGGAAAGTCATGTGGGTAAATTAGGTAATAGGGGTAAGTTATATAAAGAAGGATAAAAGTGGAGTTTTAGTGAAAACATTTTATTTTTTCTCTTAGCTTTTCCCTCCCGTTGATCGTCGATTTGCTCGAGCGGGCCCAGTAACGTCTCCACTGGAGACTTTGTTGTTACTGTGTCTGGCATATCGAATACTCTCGGTAGCTTGCCGGGCATTTATCAAGAATTCCTTATGTGGTAATGATTGTCTCCCAACTTGAGGCAGGAACCAACATTTCAGTGGACAAATTAGTGTAGTGAATACACACATATTTGTAAGTTTGCATACCTGGAACATGCAATGACATAGTACAACGATATTTCGAAAGAAAAGTTTAAAGAGCATCATTACTCATAAATAAACTTCATGGATTTGAGGTGAAAGGGTGGCAGGACACATAATGATCTTTTCTACAGTTGGGAATGTTCCCAGTGTCAGATGACAGCCCTCCAAGATGCATCCCTCACCCTCCACCCCAGGAAAAAAGGTACTGAGAAAAATATTCAGCAGATGACTAAAATCCAAAGAGAAAATTGAGACTAAGCCAAGAACCATTTTCTCCATATTTTTTTAACATAGATTAATGTGTCTGCCAAATCTGTCTAAAGAAAATGAAGCACATATTTTAAAAAATTTGTTCCTTATTCTTTTTGGCAGCTGATATATCTTTAATAAGTGTAAAGTTCATTATAAAGACAAAAACATGACTCATATATCTACCACTGCTCATACTTAGGACTCATTCCTTTCTCCATGAAAAATAACCACCTTTGGGAGTGAGGCGAGTTTAGAGGTAGAATGACTGCCTTTGGAATGTGAAGGTGGCAAGTGTAGAGTTCAATCCTCAATACTTGATACTACCCTCTATACCCTAGTGCAATCCCACCATCCCAGCAAAACCCCAAACCTCAATTGTGTGGACATTATACCAAATGTTTGCATTAAACTCTTGGCTGCATGAAAACAAAATCATAAGGGGATGGGAAGGGGAGGAAGAGGAAGGGAAGGGAAGGGAAGGGAAGGCAAGGGAAGGGAAGGGAAGGGAGGGGAAGGGAGGGAAAAGAAAGGAAAGGAGAGGAGAGGAGAGGAAAGGAGAAGAGAGGAGAGGAGTGTTTTAGATGAGTAATGATGCATGTCATTTAAATTATAGTATGTAGTATCTTCTAATTTAATAAGCCAACAATGTTCTTGATCCATTATAACAATGTTTATATCAAGTGTGCTGAATCAAGAATTTCTTGCTATTTTATACCTTGCCTTGGGTTATATTTTTTATGTTTTTTAAAAAAATTTTTATTAGTGAGACACCATAAGGTACAGTTGTAGACTTATAAATTTTGTGCTTGGGTTTCAATTATACAATGGTCAAATACCTATCCCTCCACCAGTGCCCATTTTCCAAGATGAAGTCATGAAATTTACATACAAGTGATACTACATGGAAAATATCTTGTTAATTAAGCCTTGGGTTATATTTTAAAGAATCTTTATGATTGATACTTTTCAGGAATAAGTTATAATTTTATAGTTTTAGTCATTTCTTCTGTTCTTTTTACCCATATCATTGTTGTAGGAAAAAAAACCAGGTCAGGACCTAAATTGTCATCCTTTTTTCAGGAGTTCAGGTTCTCAACTTTATCACAGAAAAGAATTAGAAAGAAAGAAGAAAACCAGAAATGAAGGTTATAAAGTAGTTATTATGTCAAAGTACACACTGAAGAAGTGAAGTGTAGGAATAACAGGAACAAAGAAGCATTATTTCTAAACAAGTTTATTAAAGGCAAGAGAACATACAAAAGCACCAGCATATGGCTATGATTTATGGAGTAGTGCCATTTTCACATGCAAATTTCTTGGCGATGTAGATAGAGAAATAGGGAAATGAATTAGGGGGGAGAATATCAAGGAATTTCAGAATGTGGGATATGGTGAGAGGGTTCATTAGTTACTTGTCATTATATAAGCAAACAAATGTTTGCTTAAGGAAATAACAGGATGATATAGTTGTGAAGTGATGCAATATCCAAACATGGGAATATTTTTCTATGGGAGGAAGTTTTCTGATTCTTCTCCCATTTGGGCCAATTGTGTACCACATCTAACTAACCATTCACTGTCTCACAGTCACCAAACATTTTTCTCAGGTGGCTCTGTACTTGGAGAAAGAACTCAAGACTTATGCTTTGACACATTGCCAAAAACTTTGCTTTCTTCTTGACATTTCACAAACGGCTTCTATGGCAGCAAATCACTCATTATTGAGTGGGATTATGTTTATCTCCCTATAATCCTTAATGTACTCTTCTTTCATTGCCACAACTAATTATTGTAAGTTTAGGGCCATAAAACAATAATACATACTATCTTATAGTTTAGGCTGGAGTGATAGCACAGGTAGGGCGTTTGCCTTACACATGGCCTACTCAACCGACCCAGGTTCGATTCCTCTGCCCCTCTTGGAGAGCCTGGCAAGCTATTGAGAGTATCTTGCCTGCACAGCAAAGCCTGGCAAGCTACCTGTGACGTATTCAATATGCCAAACACAGTAACAAATGTCACAATGGAGATGTTACTGGGCCCACTGGAGCAAATTGATGAACAGTGGGAAGACAGTGACAGTGACAATGATCTTATAGTTCAGAAGTGAGAAGTCTGAAACGAGTCTCATTAGACTAAAAATGCGGTGATACTAGGACAGAGGACCTTGCTGAAGATCTCAGGAATCAATTCATTTTCTCGTCCTTTGCATTCTTTTATTATTTATTTATTTATTTATTTATTTATTTTTTCTTTTTGGGTCACACTCGACAATGCACAGGGGTTACTCCTGGCTCTGCAACTCAGGAATTACTTCTGGCAGTGCTCAGGGTACCATATGGGATACTGGGAATATGAACTCAGGTCGGCCACGTGCAAGACAAATGCCCTACCCGCTGTGTTATTGCTCCAGCATCTTTTAGAAGCTGTCCTCAAAACTTAACTTGGAGTCCCCTTTTCCTATTTTGAAAGCCAGCAAAAGCAGTGGGGAATTCTACTCACCCTGACCTGATCTTCTGCTCTCTCTTACATTTATAAGGACATATATAAATAATACCTGATATTACAAATTCACAGGTTCTAGGAAGGAGAATGTTTGAAGTACTGAGGCATCATTATCCTAGCTACCTACCACAGCAAACTATTCTGATAGTCTCTCATTACTTGTCTTTATTCATTTTTTGGTTTTGTTTCAGTTTGGGGGTTTGAGCCATACTTCACTGTGCTCAGGGGAACATGGGATGCCAAGGATCTAATCCAACCCTCCCACTACGAAGAATGTGTTCAGTCTGTTGAGTTATTTTTCTGCCCCTTTCATTAATAGCCTCTAAACCTTTCATCTCCTGGGGACAGAGTGATAATACAGCAGGTATAGCATTTGCTTTGCACACAGCCAACTCAAGTTCAATCCCTAGCATCCTAAATCATCCTATAAGCCCCAACAGATGTGATCCCTGAGCATAGAGCCAGGAGTGAAGGCTGAGCATAGCTGGGTGTGGCTCCAAAACCAACCCCCTGCCCCCCAAAAAAATCTTTCTACTCTTACTCTACAGAAAGGGATGGATGTAAATTATAGACCACGCTCCACTGAATAGATCCCCAATGAATTTGGTGGGCCACCATGGATAACTTATGTGAAGCAGAGGGAGAGAGATGGACACTTTCTCCTGATCCTCCTCTGCCACCCTGGAACCTGCTAGAAAGGCTTGGACTGGTAAAGTAGTTGGTCCTCGGTCTTACTCAGGGCTTCTGGGTCCTAGTTTTTCCCATAGAAAAGAATTTCAGGAGGAGAAGAACAGTGAAGTAAAAACAGATTTTATTTGGAGGCTTTTTGAGGAAATGGAAGGAAGTAAAGAGAGGGAGAAAGACAAGAGAGAATGTGGACCTCTCAAAGGCAGAGAGAGTTCCAATACTTATCTCAAGAGGTGAGATGAGGGTGACAATGTGATCTGACACCACATGTGCTTGACCATGAGGGCACAACGGCTCGGGCAGTGCATATGTGCACTTCCTTTATTCAAGGTGGCTTTTATATGATTTTTTTCCCCCAACTGCCCCACGTGGGGCTTTATGGCTAGGTGAGAGTCCATTGCTAGGGTGCTTGCCAAGGTGGTAGAGTTGGGAGTGGTTGATTATCTTCTTTTAAATTCTTTTCCTTGGCCTTTGTTCCTGCTGGAGCTTCTCTCAAAGGGGGTCCGGCCTTCTCTGGTTCAGTTGGTGCTGGGTGAAGTCTTATTAGGCTCCTGAGCTCACAAGGTGGACTTTTTGTAAACTTGAGGCTTTTAGTTTCATTACTTTCCAAGAGTTCCACTGCCACGGGGAAGGGGAGGGGTGCTTTCCCATCTACCTGCTACATTAAAATGAAGTAAAATAGAGATTCAGGTGATTCTTTGGACAAGAAACATCATTTTATTGAACACTGTGGATAATGTTCAACTTTGGTTAATGATGTGTCCTTTGACTACTGTAGGACACTGTGGAGGCCCAGGAGTGCAGAGCTGTCTGGGTTACAGTATCCGACAGTTAGGCACCTGAGACTGGGGGGTCAAGCTGGGAAGCCTCCACATCTTCACACTGCCAAAAGGAATCTTCTGTGCAGAGGAATCCTCTTGTCATCCATCTTATATCCATCTCTAGGCTTTCCCAGGACCAGGGCACAGGAGACAGATGATACAGAGCAGCTAGAGCTGAGCCCCATCAGCTATTCACTCCCTACAAAATGGAAATCCTTCAGGGAAGAAGGTCATGGGTTTTAGAAACTTCACTCAAAAAGGTTTACAGATATGTGCTAGTTGGTCCCTGTTCTTCAGCCAGATAAACATGGGGTTTTTTTGTTCCAAATACTCCAGAATGTATAATGTTTCACAAAACACTGGGGGAGAAATAAAGAAAGAGATTATGGGGGGAAAGAGAGCCCTCACTCCCTCTACTTACCACTAATTCAATATATAACCCCATACTATGATTCACCTCATTTAGGCTTCACAGGGCCTTGGCAGGTCTTATGGCTTTCCATTTGAGGAAGGCATCCAGCAGGAAGGTGGGCATGTAGCTCAGGGGGATGTAAATGAATTTGGCATCCCAGCCAGCTGAATATCGTGTGCGAGGGTGACAGGACATCAGGGCATGCTCCATGCAGTCTGTCACCAAGGTCAGATCCTCACACAACTGTGAATGCTTCTTCTGTAGAAATTTATAATCTATGCAGGAAGAAAGATTACTGAAATATATATTTCTTATTCCCAATTTTTAAACTTCCAATTTATCCACTGAAAATTGTTAATAATTGCTCTACCTTCCCCAAATCCTGCTTCATACCACTTAATTGGATTTCCTCTGAATTTCCCAAGTCTAACCCAAGAATTATCACCACATGCTGCGACTCTCATTGAATTTCAGAAAATATTTCATCGCATGCCCTGGAAGTGCCTATGAACATTACAAATCTATTTCCTAAAATCAGTTACACACTAGTTGCTATGAATTCAAGAGAGTCCTCTTGTGTCTGGCTCCAATTATCCCAAAGAATAAGTTCTGATGAGAGAGTGGTTCTAAGACTAACAAACCTGGATTCATACCTTGCCTCCTATAACCACACGATCATGAGGATGAATGTAAAAGTCCCCAGCTGTTGGTGTATCCGATCTAGACAAGGACCTATGCTGGCATTCATAGAGAATCCAGACTTCTAGACAAAGGTTTACTTATCTGCCCACATTCCAAAATTCACTCACTGGATGCCAGAAATTTCTCCCCATAAATGTCCTTGACTTCTGGACTGCATTTATCCCATGCATTCTGCAAACTTTTAGTAATAACCTCAGGATTGGTTATAGTAGTTTTGAAGTAACCAGGCTCAATGATAGCCACTTTCATCCCAAAGAATGAGACTTCCCTCCTAAAAACACACCAGAGAAGAATAAGTTTAGGTTCTTGGTGAGACAGAAAAACATGAAACACAAATTAACATAAGCCAACTAACCTCAGCCAGGACAGAGGTGGTATGAACTCAAAAGTGTGGAAAGTCAAAGTTCAGATTTTTGACACTAGGGGAGAATGGCAGGGTTGATGATGTAGTTTCTACACAAGGGTTAACACATTTCCCCAAATATCTCATAGATCAGAAGTATTAACACTAGATTTTTGTTCTCTGCAGAAATCACCATTTCAGCATGTCATCTGTTATTTTCACCTCTATCTGCACCATAAGTGACACCATGCACCCTGTGCTGTCAATCACTCTACCCCTTGGCTTAGGCCAACCACATCTTTCACTCAGGAACCCTCCTGATCTACAAGTCCAGTGCTATAATTCTCAACTTAGACCTTCATCCAGGCCTGTCTTGATTGCAGCTGGCCAGATGTCCTGGCAGGTGAATATACCGCTTCTCTAGCTGCTCTCAACTCTCACAATATTAGGCCAGGGAAGAAACTGCTTTCTCTTCACTTTTAGTTTGCACTCATGGGAGTTCCCAGGAATATGCACCAAAAACAGTCTAAGGCTCTAAGTCCACCTCACAGTCTCCTGGGTCTCAGTTTCATGGGACTGGTGTCATAGGGTTCCAGTTCTACTTAAGACATTTTGTATTGAGATCACCTCCAGAGAAAGGATATATGAGATCAGACTTCATAGGTCAGGGTTCCATCTGGATGCCAGAATGTAGAAAGGGACATCCCAAAGCAAATGGTGCTAGGAACTCAGAGGGATCAAGAAGGAAGAGCCTGCAAGTAGGTTATGGAAGGATCCCCTGGGAAAGGCCCCCTGGAAGCATATCCACAGTCTCCTCTGTCCTTACCTGAGGGAATCTGAGAAGGCCTCAATGCCATACTTGGAGATGCAGTAGCCACCACCATAAAGGGACAGACGGCCCAGGACACTGGAGACGTTGACGATGCGGCCCCTGGCCTTCCTCAGAAGGGGCAGCAGGCTCAGAGTCATCTCGATCACCCCCAGCAGGTTCACGTCCATTATCTTCATGAAGTCCTGTTTGGTCAGCCACTCATTGGGACCTGAGGGCATTGAGACTCCGGCATTGTTCACCAGACCCCAGAGACCTGGACACAGGGGATGGGAGAGTCACAGTGTGCTGTGCCTGGAAGGAGGCTATAGCTGGGGTTCCCAGATCCTCCTTGGGAGGACATGGAAAGACTGTACAGGGAATGCACAAAACAGAAGGGCCATGCCCGGGGCTGGAGCTATGGTCTTGTAAACGTCTGGATGATAGAGAGCACCTGAGCCTTTGGATTTCACACACCAATGTGGTTGTTCTTTAAAAAATCCCCCTGAATTTCCACGTGTCTGCACAGGCGCAGAAGTATGTGTGCCACAACTGTCAGTTTCAAAAAGCAGCGAGATGGTGGGTGGAGAAAGAAAGAGGGAGAGAAGAGAGAGAGAGAGAGGTCGAGAGAGAGAGACAAATACAGAGACGGAGACATAGAGACACAGAGAGAGACAGATACAGAGGCAGAGAGAGAGGAGACCAGGAGGAAGTAAAGTTTGCAATAATCGATGAGAAAGTCAGTGGATAGAAGACAAAGTGACCCCAGTAAATTTGAGAAAGCTTCAGCACCATACTTGAAGATGTTGTAGCAAAATACCTATGATTGTTTCAATAAGCTGGAAAAACTGATTTCCAAATAATTTTGCCATTATTTGTAAAGTTCTGTGATATCAGATGAATACAAGGAGCATTCTTACCAGTAGGAAATTGGGTCATCAGTAAAAACAAAAAAATACTGAGATTTGGGCTGGAGCAATAGCACAGCAGGGAGGGCGTTTGCCTTGCACGCGGCTGACCCGGGTTCGATTCCCAGCATCCCATATGGTCCCCTAAGCACCGCCAGGGGTGCTACCTGAGTGCAGAGCCAGTAGTAACTCCTGAGCATCGCCGGGTGTGACCCAAAATGAAAAAAAATACGAGATTTGTAGCCAAGACTGACTCTTGACCCCAGGTCCAAGACCCCTTTAAAGCAGCCCAATTGAGTCCTAACTTTCACATCTAGAAAAGAGATTTCCTGTTGAGGATTTAAGCACAGACAGGAAGGCTGTCATGTCTCATTAGGCCAAATTCTTCCCAGAGTCAAGGGATCAGGTCAACACATGGAGCAGAGGTTCAAGCTGGGGAGTTGGTAAATGAGAAAAACTCATAGACTCAAGTCCTGAAAGCCCCTGGGATTCAGTCAGGGAGCACAGTCTGTGACTCCCCTTCAGACACAGACCCAGCAGTTCATGGTACCTCGGTCTCCCGTGTGCTCTTTCACCCACTGGGTGGCCGCAGCGATGCTGTCTGACTTGGTGACATCCAGGATCACTGTGTCCAGCCTGTCTGAAGTCTTCGCCCTCAGAGTCTCAGCCCCCTTCTCAGTCAGACACGCAGCCAGCACCCTCAAGCCCTGCAGGTCCAGTTGCCTGGCCAGCAGGTTCCCAAAGCCCGAGTCACAGCCCGTGATGAAGACGTACTTGTCCTGCAGCTGGCTTACCACCTGCCTCTCCCGGTACCAGCGCACAAGGTAATACAGAGCCACCAGGGTCACCAGGTACAGCCACATGGTCTGCAGAAAGAGACAGACAGACCCAGGAAAGACTACATGACAGGCCCATGTGCAGACAAGTGACAGTGACCATGCAGATGTGTGTTTGTAGTCGTCCTGCCGGATCTGCTCACATGTTCTGTTCCCTTGCACCTCAGTAGAGTCTGCCTCTGCCCTCCCTTCTATACTCGGTCTCAGGGCTTACACTTTCTATTTATGACTTCTTTTGCTAAAAAACATTTTACACAGCCCCAGGATCTGTTGGTCTATAAAATATGTGTACAAACCAACCATTTACTGATAATCAATCACAATGCAGTTTATTTTAAAACAAAAATGTTAAAGATTCCATGACCCCTTGTGAGGTGTGACCTACAGTTTGAGAGGAAAGTCTCTGTGTACTTTGGCCAGTTCTAATCAATGCTGTGAAATTCCCAAGAACTCTCAATGTGTTTCCCCAACTACACTCTGTGATCCCCCTACTTCTTTTCTACCTTTCCATCTAATGCCCTCTCCCCCAGAAATATATGTGTATTGGAACCTATGACAGGAACTCATCATTCAGCACATTCTTATTTCATGTTCTTCTCATCAGTCTGGACTCCCTGGAATCATGAATAATATGAAGTGTGAGCTGTGTGACACTAAAAGGGGTTCCCCCTGTACTTGGGCTTCCCATCTGGCTCACACACGAACACCCTTGAGACACCCAGTCCCTGTCAGCAAGGAGAAGGCTAGGAATGGGGAGTTTGTGGGCAAAAGGGAACTGAGGACAGCAGAGCATGTGTGACATCAGAGAAGGAGCAGGAGGGAATCAGGAGCACACAGGGTGCAGGCAATAGGGAATTTTGTCTGAGTGGCAGAGAGCGGCTGAGGAACATACACAAAGTAAACTCCAGGTCAATCTCCCTGAGATGCCCTGTCTCAAGCTTTGCCATCTCCAAGTGGTGCCATTGCCCCTCTCTGCCAGTTCACCCTCACTAGCCCAAGTTACATCCCAGCACAATCACAGAGTGAGACTGTCAGAGTAGCTGCCTTGAGCAGAAATGGGGTTTCAGAATCTCACCCAAACAGGGAGGGCTGTAGCCCAGAGGCAAGGGGAGCTAAGTTTGTATCAGACATTTATTCTGATAGGGATGCCAGAAGAGGTTTCATTAAAGAGGAGCAGCAGGCTTGGATAGGTTTGAACCAGGAGCCGGTTTCCTGCTCCAGGTATATCCCTCTCTGCCCTCACTGTCTCTGCTCACTAGACACCAGGAGGAAGCAGGACAAGCAGGAAGAAAGGTTCCCACGCACAGCGGTCAATGCCCGCAGACCTTTGAGCACAAACAAAGCAGGGTGCAGGGTTATGGTTCACTTTTTCTGCAGGGTCCACTGCAGGCCTTAGAGTTTTTGTGCCCCATGCTTGGAGGCCCCTCTGCTTCCCAGACATCAGTTTCTCTTGTAACATGGGAACCCCAGGACCCTCCTCCAAGCCCAGACCCAGGAGAGGGAGGCTGAGGGAAGCAGGAAGCCTGGGAAACCCCTGGCCCAGGACACAAAGGGACTGGACCTTCCTCCGGGAGTCTGGAGAGGAGCTGCAGAAACTGTCCCAGACCCCAAATTCATAACCCATAAATCCCCAGGAGCCAAGTGGGGAGTATCTCCCACCCCCAGGCCAGAGTTTCACTCTGACTCCGCAGTCAGGGAGCATGAGTCCGTGTGTGTGTGTGTGTGTGTGTGTGTGTGTGTGTGTGTGTGTGTGTGTTGGGGGTTCAGAGTCAGAAGCTGACAGGTGCTCAGTGGAGAAGAGGAGAGGAGAAAAGGAGCCCAGACTGATGCTCACTCACCTGGGATCTGTCAAGGTCTCAGGTAGGTGCCAGAAGTAGAGTCTTGTCCACAGAAGTTCTGTGGAGCACTGTGTGACACTGACCTTGCACCGTGGGGGAGGGTGATCCTTTTGTCGATAAAGAATCATGTGATCCTCTGTTTGCTAAACTGAGCTCATTGCCGCCTGGTGGTTCCCTGCTGTAACAGTCCTAGAGGCACAGTTAAGATTATCCCTGACCCAGACCATTCATTTTCCTTCTCCATCTAGCAAGGTCTTCTGAAGAAAAACAGTGTGCAATAACAAATAATCACTTGAATTGGAAATTCAGGAGAATCCACACCTGATGTTTAATTCCACTAGATTCTCTTGGTCACTCAACCCTAACTTTATTTTTATTGATTTAAGTTCAGTGATTTGTAATATGTCTTGTTTATTTTTATTGATTGAAGTTCAGTGATTTATAATAGGCTAGTTATGGTTTCTCATGTACATAATTACAGCACCACACCCATCACCAGTGTATCCGCTACCCTACCCTAAGGACTGTGACTCTTTTTAAACCCTTTTTCCCCATCTGCTCAATGGTGTGGAACAGTTCTCCTGTTTGTGTTGCCTTTGGCCTCTTTGTAGTTTTCTTGTTGTGTATCTTTAAGTCCCACATATGAGAGATTATTCTGTATCTATTTCTGATCTCACTCAGCATACATTAGATGCATCCATAAGTATTCAATTGTGTATATACACCAAAACATTTTTGTGGGGGGAGGGTTCATCACACCTTGCAGTGCTCAGGAGTTGCTCTTGCCTTTGCATACAGGGATCACTCCTGGTGGGATCTAGGGACCATTGGAGTGCTGGAACTCATGCCTGGTTTTCTTCATGCAGAGTAAGCCGCTGTAGTATCTCTGCCCATAACACCATAGCTTCTCGATTCATTCTCAAACCCCAGCTTAAAAGTCCTGAACAACTCACAATTACAGTCTCAAAATCAGTATACATCCTTTCCCATTCAGGAAACAAAAATCCTCACTTGACATTTCTTTTTTTAGTGTAACTGATTTTTAAAATTTTTTTTATTTTTAATTTTTATTAGTGAGACACCATGAGGTACAGTTGTAGACTTACAAATTTTTGTGCTTGGGTTTCAATTATACAATGATCAAATACCCATCCCTCCACCAGTGCCCATTTCCCACCACCACGGATCCCAGTATCCCTCACCCCCCCAACCCCCCATTCCACCCTGCCTCTGTGGCAGGGCATTCCCTTTGGTTCTCTCTCTCCTTTTGGGTGTTGTGGTTTGCAAAAGTGGCATTGAGTGGCAATCATGTTTGGTCTATAGTTTACTTTCAGCATGCATCTCCCATCCAGGGAGGATCCTCCCAACACCCTTTATTTGGTGCTCCCTTCTCTATCTGAGCTGCCTTTCCCCCTAGCATGTGTGGCTGGCCTCCAAGCCATGGATCAAAATTCCTGGTACTAATCTCGGCCATTCTTGGGTGTTAGTCTCCTATTTTGTTACTTTATGTTCCCCAGATGAATGCAATCTTTCTATGTCTATCCCTTTCTTTCTGAGTCATTTTGCTTAACATGATACTTTCCATGTAGTACCACTTGTATGTAAATTTCATGACTTCATCTTTTCTAACAGCTACATAGTACTCCATTGTGTAGATGTACCAAAGTTTCTTTAACCAGTCATCTGTTCTCGGTCACTCAGATTTTTTCAGATTCTGGCTATTGTAAAGAGTGCTGCAATAAACAAACAAGTGCAGATGTCACTTCGACTATACTTTTTTGCCTCTCTGGGATGTATTCCAAGGAGTGGTATTGCTGGGTCAAATGGGAGCTCAATTTCTAATTTTTGGAGAATCGTCCATACTGTTTTCCAAAAGGACTGAACCAGTTGGCATTCCCACCAGCAGTGAAGTAGGGTCCCTTTCTTGCCACATCCGCGCCAGCACCAGTTGCTTTTGTTCTTGTGGATGTGGGTCAGTCTCTTCAGAGCACGTTCTTGATTGTTTTCAGCAGTCAGATGTCTCATATTGTTGCTGAAGCCTGGTTCTGCTCTTTCAGATGATGAAGCTCCTGCTCTAGACATTTGCACGGACACAAAGCAGCATCCCGTTCTTCTATCACAGCATTCATTTCTTCTGCAGTTATTCTCTTTCTACATTCCTTGGTCTTGTAGATTCTATCCACAATTATAGCTCCATTCTTCTGAATAGCTATCCCTGTGTCTGCATTGTTTATTCTGTTCAGTAATTCCTGTAATGTCATGTCATTTTCTTCAAGGTTAATATTTTCTAGCACTTTTAGAGACATTTCCATATGCTTGGCTCGTGCAATTGCTTCATCTGACTCCTCATCAGCTAACTGTAGTCATGAAAGAATAGCTTCATCATGCTCTCTCTGAGCAAAATAGACTTCTTCAACCAGAGCTGCTGTTTTTCCAGCAATTTGAGCTTCTGTCGCTTTCTCCTGGAGTTCCAGCTTAAGCTTTAATAATCTTTTTTCTTTATCTTCACTAGTGAGTTCTTCTTGAAGCTTTTTATTGCTTGCTCTGAGAATGTCCAGTTCTTTCATAAGAAATGTTACTGTCTCCTCTGTATTTAAGTCTGAAGTAACTTGAGAAGGAATCATACATTCATAATGCACATCATTATTTATATTTCCCATCATGTTGGAATTCTCAGCAGTGTGGTCATCTGTCTCATCACCTGGAGATGGACAGCTGACCTGAAAATTTCTTAAGCTTTGTTCTGTCAGCTCTACTCCCTCATATTTGGCTTCATTAACTAATTCAGTGAAATTATGATGTGTGCTTCCCCTAGAATTCATAGTTGGCTGTTCACCTGGTTTTGTACTTTTATCTTCTTGTATTATGCCTTGTTCAAGATAACCATGGGCTACATATGAAGGAGTCTTATTCCCATTTTGGATGACAAAATAAAATGCCTTTTGACCAGTCTTCCATTTGTACTTCTGTTCTTGTTTGCTCTGACAATGTCTCTTGCTCTTGCTCCAAGATTTGAAGCTTGCAGCTAGGGCTCCACTTCTTTTAAAAAGTTCTCAAACAAAGCTGTAGTAAGCTTCTCCTTTCCCAATTTTCTCTAAATGTGTTGATCTGGAGTTGGCAATCTTTTTCTAAGTTCCTCATTTACTTTTGGATTAGCTGACTCAAGCCGGGCACCACCTGGGGAGTCTCCCAGCTCACTAGCCCCAAGTTTCTCCGGCCCACAGTGAAGCTACGAAGCCACGGCATCAGCCAATCGCCTCTTGCTTGGAACCTCCGGGATTCGCCCTAAGTCCCGGAGGAGGGCGCTCCCGCAAGGCGCGACGGCGGGGGGAACCTGCCGCACCTTGACATTTTGTTTTAACTTTAAAATAGAGGGGTGTCCCCCCCCCACCTCGCTCCAGCACCGCCAGGAGTGATTCCTGAGTGCATGAGCCAGGAGTAACCCCTGAGCATCGCTGGGTGTGACCCAAAAAGCAATAAAATTAAATAAAATTAAAAAAATAAAATAGACGGGTAGGAATGATAGCATAGCATGTAAGGCTTCTATTTTGCATGTGGCTGACCCTGGTTTGATCCGGGCATTCCATAGGTTTCCCCGAGCAATGCCGGGGGTGATTTCTGAGTACACAGTCATTTCTGAGCTTTACTGGGTGTGTATGATAGCACAGCAGTAGGGCATTTGCCTTGCACGCAGCCAGCATGGCCGATCCGAGTTCAATTCCTCCGCTCCTCTCGGAGAGCCCGGCAAGCTGCCGAGAGTATCTTGCCCACACGGCAAAGGCTGGCAAGCTACCTGTGACGTATTCGATATGCCAAACACAGTAACAAATGGCACAATGGAGACGTTACTGGGCCCGCTTGAGCAAATTGATGAACAATGGGAGGACCGTGACTGTGACTGGGTGTGTGTATAAACTCGGGGTGGTGGACAGGTAGAGCCCCAGAGGTTTTCCCCCTCACAGTCCAGGTTCAGGACGCCTCGGACTGCTCCCCAACCCTGTATGGCCCAAGCCATAGAGCAGATGGAGGAGGAAACGAGGGCCAAGCCGTTAGATTGATCAGTTGCCATTTATTCCATTCTCCCCATGCGCCTGTTCCTGTCTCTCTAAGCCCCCCATTGTAGTCTCACATTGCCCCTCATTCCTGTCTCCTCCTGTCTCTCTCGCTCATCTCTCCACCCTCCATCTTGCAGCCTGGGCTCTCTCTCTCTCCACGTGCCTGCTCCTGTATTCTTCTACATCCTTCTCCGTCTGTCCCCTTTGGTAGTCTCTCCATGCTCCATCTTGTTCTCTCTCGTGCCCTGTTCTCTCTCCAGCTCTCTTGTCTCTCTTCTCTCTTCTCCACTCCAGCACTCTGGGTTGAACTACACCCAGTCAGGTAGCAAAATCAACATAAGAAAGCCCTTTCTGGGGGCTGGAGCAATAGCACAGCGGGTAGGGCGTCTGCCTTGCACGTGGCTGACCCGGGTTCGATTCCTAGCATCCCATATGGTCCCCTGAGCACCGCCAGGAGTAACTCCTGAGTGCAGAGCCAGGAGGAATCCCTGTGCATTGCCGGGTGTGACCCAAAAAGCAAAAAAAATTTAAAAAATAAATTATTAAAAAAAAAAAAAGAAAGCCCTTTCTGACTACCCATCAGGCTAAATGCCTCTTAGGGTGTTTTTCTCCTTTCCTCAGTCCAATAATTAATCAACATCTAATAATATTAGTTATTTTTGTATGGACAGAGTAAGAGATACATTGAGACTTGTAGGGCTGCTCTCTTGCCACAGACTCAGACTACAGTGCTCAGGCCAGATTAATCATTCCCAACCCTAGTGGGGTTTGAATCTAGTTATTACTTTTTAGATCATGACAGCATTTGTCCATGACTAAGCTCTTAACTTATAGTTAAGCATTATGGCATTTTAGCTAGGCCCTTTTCAATGCCAGGGTAGCACATAGCTCATCGCTTGCCCTGGGTCCATCCAGTCCCTCATCAGGATCCTGGTTTTGGGGTGCTAGTGATGTTAGTGGACCCCACAGGTGGCTCACAAGAGTCAGGAGGAGAAAGACAGTCACTTTCTCCCGATCTGCCTCTGCCACCCAGGACCCAGGATTACT